CGCACAGGGACTCTGACTCTGACCGGTCAGCTACTGACTCCCCAGGTCAATACCTTTTTATTTTGTTTTACTCATTGTTAATAGTAATTTAATGACAATGACAATTAAGCCTTACTACGGTACATATTGAACTTATTACTTTATGATCTCAAGTACGAAGAAGACCACATTTAAATAGCTCTTGTAAAACGTTACATAATTGGCGTAGGTCCTAATATTTATGAAACTTGAAATCCTACTTCTTTTTTGGGTGTATCGACAATCTAAAAACCTTCTTGTTTTAAAGCCAAAAAATTTTTCTAGTCTACAATATGCCTTTCACATCATTCATTTCACACATTTCAATTAAGACATAACTCTAAAAAATTCTTAAATATCTAAAATCCTTTTGCATTTAAAAATATTTACATTTGTGAAGCAATGTTAAATCGATCTTTTGTTAACGTGTCGCACCTTCTTAGAAAAGACTTCAACGATGCGCAACGACATCTGACATATCCTATCCCTTTAAAAATTTTGAACTTTTAACAGAAACAGTTAAAAGTAAACTTTGGTTATTGAATTATAAATTTGTTATGTTAGTATTTAAATAACAGGATATGGTTTAATTAAACGACTGCGAATAAATAAAATATTAATATTAAAATCTAACAGTAGTTACTTTGAATTTAAAAACAAAATTTGTATTCACATTCAATCATTTAGAAAATTCAATTGGGTATTTCCACAATATAAAACGGATGTAACATTATATATGGAAGGTACAGGAAAATCGTCTTTCCTGATAGGATTACTTTTAACATGACCGTTCTTAATTTACGTATCATCTAGTTAAGCCGTTTGGAATACGTTTTTGATAATGTCTTATGAAACTTTAAACAATTTAAATTATTTTTCTTTACTTTAACTTCATGTAAAATATAAAAGCAAAGGTTTGGATAGTTGAATATTTTTAGGTCACCAAAGCTTACATTTGGATGAAATTTGATATGTAGATGAAGAACAGATAGAATATGTATCTATACTATTATAATAAAGCGTAAACACACACTTCTTTGTAGCCTAAGATGACAGCAATTACAGCCTATTTTTGAAAAATTCTTTTTTTAATAAAAAGCCGTACACTTACGTCACGCTTTAGGCTATATATTTTCACGACATTAAACTTAGGGGATAAATATTTTGGATAAAAACCCTAATGTGGGAAAGAGACCATAAGTTGCTGCCAACATCAAGGAAGCAAGGTTGCCATCGTCATGTCATTTTGACATTTGGAATTGATAATTTGACACATGTAAAAAACAAAATAATTATATGCGGATGAAGTCGCACGGGAACAGCTAGTCAATATTATTTTTAATTCCTCTTGCTTATTATTTTTAGATCTTCAGTACAAACTATTATGATATTTCAATTATTAAAATTTGCAGTAGTTCTATTACATTACATACTTATTTATAAAACATGAAAATTATTATAAAGTTTTTTAGAATAAACCATTTGAAAAACTATATATGTAAAATTGTCAAATGTGACGTACGAAGCCATTTTGTAATATAAAATATAATATTAGCATTGAAATACGTTTATAAAGTGAGAATGATAATGCATACCATAAACCTGTTTATAAATACATATTGTCATTTTTCGACCTTGTTTAGGTCAAGCATCAATGACTCTTGTCTGCAGATTGTTTCAACTCGACTTTAATATGATTATTACCTTTGTTATCTGTGGATTTTCTTTCAATAAAATTGAATGTCATTGGTAAAGTCTGACCAGAAATGAAAATACATGCGAGGCTTATTGCGGTAAAATCTGGAAGAAAATTTTTGCACTATTGAAAGTTATGTAATGAGGAAGACCAATGAAATGCTCTCAGGCTCTCTCTACCTCTCTATTAGGTTGTAGTTTTCTTGGTTAGGTTATTATTAGATTGCTTTACTAACATATTTCTGTCTTTAGCTTATCTAAAACATTTATTTTTCCTTTACAGTAATTCTGTACAATAAAGGCATATTATTTTAAGGCATATAAAATGATATTAAATATAAATGAGTTGTAATGTTGCTTATAAATTAAAACAATGGCGGAATTACAAGATAAATTCAGTTATTTTCGACAAAAAAACACTATATATTATATTTACTTGAATTATACCGGCGTACAGATAAGGGAATAAATGTTATTATTCAAGAGATAAGCAACGCAACGCCACTTTATGAAAACAAGTTTGCTTAGCGTTTAAAAAAAATGTCGGACGAACTTCGAGTCATTAATCTATGGCCGCGGTAAAAAGCAACGCATATAATTTTAATTTATTAATTTGGAGTTGCCCAACGTAATCTTGAGGGTAATTATAATTCATTCTTTACCCAAATTAATTCATGCTGGGAACTAATTATAATATCTTAGACAAATGCTCTTATCAAGATTTAATTTACAAGATACATGTTTAGCATGCTTAAGGATGCGTTTAAATAATACACAAATATTTTGGAAAACTTTCGAACGGTTTAGCAACTTTGCGGTTTACCACATGTCAGTCTTTGTTTGTTTTCTAAAGTATCATGCGTACATTTTGTTTATCATTTTGCGCTAAGAATCATGTTTTATATAACTTACGAGTAAAACAAAAGCCTTTTTCAACTTAAGAGAAAAAAATAAAGAAAAAATTAATCAACGCTCGAAGTTTGCGTTTTTTAAACGCTCACGCACATACTAAGTTTTTAAAATCACTCTTATTTCAAACGCACAGTGATCAAAATGTAATGTGATAAAACCGTCGAGTTTTAACAGCGCTTTCGTAATACAGATGCTTTTTTTATATTTGAACTTTACGCGCGTTAAAAAACCGCGAAGCTTAACAAATTATTCTAATTTTAAATGGATCATTTAAAAACATATCTGAGAGGCAGTGTTTGAGTTCTGATCTCGTTTCCCGTCTCGATGTAATAGACAAGCCGATAAATCCGTGGCGTTAAATAAATTAAATAATAAAACGTATAATGGACGCGATAAATACAACCCGTTCTAACACTCTGGCCCGAGATAAGTAAGACTTTATAAAACGGGCCAAATTAATCCTCGCTGAAAGGTACGCTCGGGGGAGAGAAGAAAAAAACTGACGTCATAATCAGCTTTTTGTCAATTGTCAAGTTAGGTTGAATTTAATTTTTAATAAGTCACCCATTTTAAAATGCTTTTTATAGTTTATGTGCATAACATTTTATTAATAAAAAGTTTACATCTAAATAGTTTATGACACTTATCCTATAGCTAATTTAAAATAACTGTACACTTTTATAATATATTTTAAAAGTTCTTTGCATAACTAAATTTCTTTGTATATTTGAAAAGTCAAACGACCAAATACTGAATCGACATTTAACAGCGTATTAAGTAATAAGGCCTTGCTTTAACTTCGAATCGAATTACAATTTTGATGTCCGTCATCGTTAGCAATACTTGAAAAGTATATAATATTCGTTTCAGTCTCCGGCCGTAATTATAATAATTTTTGGAACAGACACTTGAATTGGCTGCGAAACAATCGACAGTCACACAACAGTTGTGCGATAGTATAGTCAAAGGTGTGCGTCCGCTCTAACAATTCTTAGACAAAATAAATCAAAATCCTACGTTTATTTTGATAATGACATTTTGTTATAATCTCTCTTTACCGTGCACCTTATCTTATGATTAAACCTCCCAATTACTGGTTTGTACATCCGCTGACGGCAATTAACCGTCTACATGCAACCGTAAATGCGGACCTCATCGCTTTGTTATTTAAAGAAAAAAACCCCACATACAGGGAATGTGAAAAATACAACATTTATAGCAATTAAACGTCATATAAAACCTCCTCGCTCACAATTTAACAATGTAAATGATCCGCGCGCAATTACATCGCGGCGATTGTACAATCGAATCGATTAACTAAATTTTATTTAAGAGTTACAACATTATTTAGATCCTAATGTTAAAAGAGCATACGCACACTTTAAACTAAACTATCGCTTGACTGTTTAGTCGCGCTTTGATTCCTATCAGCTTACATGGAGATTCGCACACTACTCGATTTTTAGTTGTACAAGTAAACAGTTGAATTGGCTGCGAAACAATCGACGATAATTGAACGTTCTATAGCTTCAATTTGCTTTAATACTAACTAGTAAACTGAAGAAACAAAAATTACAAATGATTCCGATTCCAGTAAAAGTGCTGCGATAATATCCTCTACTAATTTTCCGATTGCTTATTCGTATTTCTTTTAGTAGATTTGTCTATGATTTATTCGACAGTTAAAAGTATTATGAGAAGTATTCCGTCTTATCGGTAAAACAAGTCTTCCGATGAGATAACTTTCTGATCTTTCTGAAGACATCGGGTCAAAATATCTACTATCAAGCAGTATCGTGTTTTAAATAATCAAAGATCGTTCTGATAAGCTAAGTTGGAACGCCGACATCGCAACTTACGGCTTGACGTGTCGACGGAACATTGCAACTTAAGTTATAACGATTAAAAAAGTGTTAAATTGATATGAAACTTATTTAAAATACACTTTACACTCCGCATTTATATGAATATTTTATTTATTCCTCTTGTTTAAATTTTTAATGAAAATTTAATAATGATATGTTATTGCAATTATAAGAAATAGAATTGAAAATGTTTTTTGTGGAAGCAATTAATCGTACATTCAAGTAACAAAAACATTTAATATCAAAGGAGATTTAATAATGAGTTAAATTTTAATCAATCCTATTTAAAAATATTCATCGCATAGTTGCTCGCCTGTGTTACCCGTTAAGAGCTGCCACCGTCTCGTAACTCGAAACCTCGTCTCTAACCTCAAAACGTGCGAACGTGCGATCGCTCCAATAAGCTGCTTATAATCTTGCACGAAGTAATCCCTTATTTATTGAAAAATGAACTTTATTTGTGGTTGAATTAAGTACATATTGCATCATCATCAACCTCCGTGACTTTTGGCATCACGATAAAGACGAGGTAGGTGACAATTCTTTCATCGCATC